AGTTTGAGTAAACTAATTTTTTCAAAGTATGCCAGTAGCTACATTGGTAATTAACTTTTTAAGCTCCCCCCCAAGTTCTTGACAGTTTTGAAAAATAACCACCTTCGCTGTTGGGGTATGGGACTTGGCTTGGGAGAAGTGACTTTCCCCATCACTGCAGGAGCGCCAGGGCACAAACACTCATGGCGTCTTTATTTAACTGGAGCACCTTGGCTCTCGCAGAGTTTGCACTTCTTACGGTAAAGACACAAAACAAAAACACGCCAGGGGCGTGGGCGTCCCGACTCGGCCCCGCGCGGGGCTCTGCTCTTTCGGTTTCGCTCACCGCGGCCTCGGCTCCCTGCACCCCAGGCCTCGCTAAGCTCGGCGCCCGGGAGGCAGCCCAGAGGTGACATTTACACCTCTGAAAGGTGATCGGCAGCGCGGGCCGGGGCGCAGACACTGCTGACGTCCTCTCGCCATCCGGCGAGCTCGCCTGCCCACAGCTCCCGCGGTGCAAGAAGAAAACGGGTCAGATATAAACCCCAGAGGGCTAGCGGCGAACACGAGCGCTATCCTTCTCACCACCCGAAACACAAGAACTGCTGACTCCGAGACTCGGGTATCGCGCCATCACGCTCTTCCTTCCCAGGGCCGCAAGATAAAAAAAAAACGACTTCAGAAACGACCACGGCAAAACGGCGCTGTCAGCAAGCACTCTCCTGTGCAACGCCACGCTCACGCCCGCCGAGAGCACCGAGCTGGGTCGCACGTCTGCCCAGGGCAGAGACACGCAAAAGTTCAATGTAAAGGTCACGGATGAGTACAGGAGGCTGTTTGGTAGCTAATTGATCGCAGGATCTCGGCCAGCTGTTTCTTGAAAAGAAGCCAGAGTACCGGTTTCAACAACAATAGCTGGGCAGCTTGCTCCACACTCCCACCACCCTTTGTGTGGAGAGAGCCTCTTGTCCCGACAGTAGGAACTCTGCCAGCTGTTTCTTGAACAGAAGCCAGGGTATGGGTTCCAACAACAATCTTCCTCTGGCTCCCAAGTCCGAGCTCTTCATTCTGAAGAAGAGGGTGCTGTGCAGTTCAGCACGCTGCAGGACCAGGACTCCCCACCTGAGGTGAAGAGGAGGAGCTCTTTCCAAGCTGCCTGCTGCCATACAGCACTGCCTGTCGCTTCCCAGCACAGTGTGGCCGGTGTTGTTCAGATACTTCAGCTCTCTCTGGCTCACAATGCTGAGGAGGGAGGTACCGCTGCAGCAGAGCCAGGGTGTCTGCAGCAGGGGTCCCCAGTCCTGGAGGGTCAGGGTGTCTGCAGCAGGGGTCCCCAGTCCTGGAGGGTCGGGGTGTCTGCAGGAGGGGGTCCCCAGTCCTGGAGGGTCGGGGTGTCTGCAGGAGGGGGTCCCCAGTCCTGGAGGGTCGGGGTGTCTGCAGGAGGGGGTCCCCAGTCCTGGTCCTGGAGCATCAGTGTGTCTGCAGGAGGGGTCCCCCAGTCCTGGTCCTGGAGCATCAGTGTGTCTGCAGCAGGGGTCCCCAGTCCTGGAGGGTCAGGGTGTGCAGCAGGGGTCCCCAGTCCTGGTCCTGTAGGGTCAGGGTGTCTGCAGGAGGGGTCCCCCAGTCCTGGTCCTGGAGGATCAGTGTGTCTACAGCAGGGGTCCCCAGT